TGTCTTTAGTACTTCATTTTCTGCTGTATGCAGCTCAACCCAGCCAACCCTGCTAAGACATCAGGTCTGGTGACCAACGGACCTGAGGTAGAGAAGTAAATAGTTCTCCTGCAGTTTGCTGGTTCACAGACATCGCCTGCCACCTCGCGGTTGACCTGATGATGAGGGTTAGTGCCAATCATCAACTTGACAGACCCTAACAACACCTGGGCCTCTGGGCATGCCTGCGGGGGATTAGCTGGACTATGTTAACTGGAGTGGCAAGCCCCTCCCCACTGTGGGTGGCGCAATTCCTTGACTTATATCCTGGACTGCGTCAGTAGAGAAAGAGGTTTGAACAGCAGCCCGCATCTGTCACCCTCGTCTTCCTGATTGTGGATGCCCCTACCACTCCAACTTGCCCACAACTTTGCCCTTGGATGGTGAGCTAAAGTAAAGCCTTGTTTCCTGTAAGTGTCTTTTCCCAGGGCATTTTTTTTATCACAGCAACGGGGGAAGAAACTGAGTACTGCTTTTTGGTCTGAGCTGAACTCAATCGACTTTCAATACCACCAAGGCTAGCTGCATATTGAAATGAACTGAACAGCAAGCCCTGGGAGCGCTATACATTCATTATTCTTCATTCACCTAACTCACGCTGTGTCATCTCATGCACTCTACTAAGCCACTAAATCCAGAAAGGTGGCGACCACATTCTCAGTTCTCAAAGAGGACTGGGGAAGCACCCAGTGACCCACCAGCAGTCCATACAGTCCCAAAGTCTGGGGGAAGTTATGGCCAGAGGCAGGCTCTGTGATTCAGTCGTGGAAGGCAACCACGGTGCTTCCATTTAGTGCCTGTTCCGATTGGTCTCTGAGTGCTCTGGAGTGAGCACTATGCTGGGCCGTGTTGGATGCTCAGTGAAGCAGACATGCTCCCTGCTCTCAAGGTGCTGTTCCAGGCAGAGCTGGGATGGGGTGCCTTCTGTGTGGCCAATGGCATGTCCCCACTGTCTGTTCTGAACTGCAAGAATGAAAGGACTCCAGTGTTTCCTTCTCTCTTCCTTGGATTGCAGTGATTTTTACCTTTCCAGTCTCCATCTGGGCAAGGGGAGCCCAATGCAATGCATGGGACATGTCCGGGAGAAACAGCATTACTGGTGCTAGGAACACTATGGCCTGTAAGGGTCCATGTAGCTAAATATACAAGGTCCTGGAATTCCAAACCAACCTGTAGAGCTGACCCAACTCACCCAAACAACTTGTTATCAGTGACAACAATATTACCTCTTCCTAGGTCTACAGAATCAGAGTTCTCAGAAATGTATCCCAGTGATGTTGGTAAAAAATAATCTCACACACACACACACACACACACACACACACACACACACACACACACACAGAGCTGGTTCTAATAGCAGCTTGTAAAACTACTATACTAGAAACAGTTGTAACCTTGGGTCTGAGAAGATGACCATACTTGCATGAGGACCTGAGTTCAGGGTCCCAGAATCTACTAGGTGCTACAGCACACATCTGTAACCTCAATTCATGTGGGCAGGGGCATGCAGGGACAGGAGGATTCCCTGGAGCTCACTGGCCAGCCTAGCCCAATGAGTGAGATCCATGCCCAGTGAGAGACCCTGTCTCAAAAAAAAATAAGGTAGAGGCCAGAGGTGGTGTGCTGTGAATATCGCTCTGTATAAATAAAGCACTGATTGGCCAGTAGCCAGGCAGGAAGTATAGGCGGGACTAGCAGAGAAGAGAGAGGAAAAGGAGAGGAAGGCAGAGGAAGGAGACACCAGCTGCCCTTCAGGGAACATCATGTAGAGGCAACAGGTAAAGCCATGGAACAGGTGGCAACATATAGATTAACAGAAATGGACTTAGTGTAAGAGTACGAGCTAAACAATGGTAGGCCTGAGCTAACGGCCGAGCAGTTTAAGTAATATAAGTGTCTGAGTGATTATTTTATACGTGGGTTGTGGGACTGCGGGTGCTTGGTGGGACCTGGAGAGAAGCTCTCCAGCAACAGTGGTGATGCACACCTTTAATCCCAGCACTCAGAAGGTAGGAGGCAGAGCTCTGTGAGTTTGAGACCAGCCTGGTCTACACAGTGAGACACTATCTAATAATATAATAAAAGATAGAGAGTAATTGAGAAAGACGCTTGACAACTTCTGGCCTACACACACACATACACTCATTCCTACACACCCATGCACACATATATCCACACTCCCTCCCCCTATCTCCATCCACACAGGATTGTAGCCATGGAGACATTAAGAGAGTTAGCTTCTATGTGCTCTAGTGGAGGTTTATATATTTTCCAAAAAGAGAGAGAGGGGAAAAAGTCATATTAGTTGTTAATACTTTTAGGGGCACTTGGGTATATATGTCTTAGACACCTACAGGCAATCAAATGAGACAGTCCAACAGCCAAAGCAACCCCCTCCTGCTGCCACCTGAATCATCCCACTAGATGGCAGACACACACCAGATTTGCCACAGTTTAGGTTAGCTGTTCCTAGCAGCTGAATTCAGTTTCCCAATAATCCAGAAACACAAGCACATTCCTAGCTTACTTCACAGGTCTGGTTTGTTGGTTTGTTGGTTTGTTTGTTTGTTTGTTTGTTTGGTTTTGGTTTTTCGAGACAGGGTTTCTCTGTGTAGCTTTGCGCCTCTCCTGGAACTCACTTGGTAGACCAGGCTGGCCTCGAACTCACAGAGATCCGCCTGGCTCTGCCTCCCGAGTGCTGGGACTAAAGGCGTGCGCCACCACCGCCCGGCTTGTTTTGTCTTTTTTAAGGCCAGTGAATACATGACGAACACCAAACAAGTCAAATATGATCTTACAGCAGGGGCTGGATCCTGCCAAGAAAGCAGTCTCTGGAGGACTCGCCTGAACATCCAGGAGGGCGATGAGCATCCTGGGCAGGTGAGCTGTGCGGACATGCTGGTTTGCCCTGGCCAGGACAGTCAGCACTCACACACTGAACCCCTTGCCAGCTGCCTTCTGGACAAGTCATTGGTACCACCAGGTCCAAACAGCTCCTCACGAGAAAGACAATGGCCAGTGTGGATGTGGTGATGTGACTAGTTTATATAGAAAGCAGTTTTATGTTCTGATTGCTCTCTAGTCCTGGGATGTGTATGCCAGGGCTTAGTCCTGTATCAGATGGGTTCACACAGCTATTTTATTTTAACTCATGGTTTACTAAAGTGTGTGTAAGCATACACACAGGAGCAGACTAGGATCTAGCATAGTGTTGTTTGGTTTTGCAGTGCTGGGAACTGAATCCAGACCTCTTGCTTATGCTAAGCAGGTGCTCTAGTACCAAGCTACATCCCCAGCACAGAAAATGCCCTCATTCTTTTTTGAGGGGCAGGGAGTATTTTTGAGACAGGTTCTTAGTATGTGAGCCAGGATGACTTCCAGCTTGTCATACTCCTGTCTCAGCTTCTCCAGCGTTGGAGGTCACAGACATGTGCTACCACACCTCACCTTGAAAATCAGCTGTAAAGTATCTAAACATCCCCAGCACCATATGAAGGAATCCACCCAAGTCCAGTCTCTTGAAGCTGACATTGTCATGTTCCAAGACCCTTTCTCTACTCCTTGTATTTAACAGTTTCAAGCAGGTATTAACAGTCTTCTGCAAACCTACTCCATCGATGGCTTCGTTAAAGCAGCATTAGTTTGTGTCGAGAGATGGCTCAACAGTTAAGAACACTGGCTGCTGAGAGGCTCACAACCACCTGTGACTCCAGTTCCAGGGGATCTGATTCCCTCGAGGGCACCAGGCACACAATTGTTACACAGATACACATGGAGGCAAAACACCCATACACATAAAAAGAATTTAAAACAGCGTCATTGCCCACTAGGGGAAGAGGGGACACTGCGGAGAGAGCTCCTGTTGAGAGATCTGCCACTTCCTAGATGGGATGGCCTGGTCGGTGGAAAGATGGGATCAGCAGATGGAGGGAAACTAAATCAGGACTCTCAGGAGCTGCAAAGGGCACAGGCCAATTCTGTGAAACCCCTGGTGGTACATGATGTAGGTCTTTTAAAAACAAGAGTAAGTTGAGTGTGACGGCATACGTCTTTAATCCCAGCACTCACGAGGATGTTGAATTCCAGGCCAGCCAGGGCTATACAGAAGACCCTTGTCCATGTGGTGATGGTTCACACCTTTAGTCCCAGCACTCGGGAGGCAGAGATGAGGCCGGACTGGGCTAAAGAGTGAGTTCCAGGAAAGGCTCCAAAGCTACACAGAGAAACCCTGTCTGAACAAGAACAAAAAACAAAAAAAGAAAAAGACCCTTGTCTGAAAAACCAGCACCACCAACAAGAATAGAAAGGCTGGAGAGATGGCTCAGCAGTTAAGAGCACTCACTGCTCTTTCAGAGGATCCAGGTTTGCGTACCAGCACCCACATGGTGGCTCACAACCATCTGTAATTCAGTTCCAACACTCACCTCTGGCCTCCTTGGGCACTGCATGCATATAGTATATATACATATATATATGTATTTGTTTTGTTGCATATATATATGCAAACACTAATGCACATGTATCTTTTAGAAAATAAATATACATACACCTTCATTCATTTCAGAGTTATAATGAATGCAAACTTTCTTCCACTACACACCCCTCCATTTAGGTTTCGTTTTCATTTTTAATACAGAGAAGTATGTAGGCAACTGGTCTGGGAAGGCAAGAGAGGCAGAGGCCACATAAACGACACCAGTGATAACAGAGCCGGTATTCCAAGAATCACGGCCTCCTGGAAGCCATGGCCCGGTGGTTCCCGTGATAGGAAGTGCAAGGCAAGTAATATTAGGAGAACCGGAGCTCAGCTAGGGCCTGGAGTCTGCTCCACACACATCCCAGGACCAGGAGGCCTAAACACAGCAGGCTAGGCAAGCCCTCCCTCCACCACTGAATTGTCACAGCAGGCTCTGGCAGGCTGCTTCTCACCAGACACCACAAAGCAAAGAAGCCAGGAGTTGGGTAGTTTTTGTTCGTCTTTATTTACAGCAAAGTACATAGGATGTGGTCATTATATAGCACTAACCAAGGTAGGGCAGTCAAAAGCAAAGGGAAGAGACAGCATCTTCTAGGGAAAGAACAGTCTAGGTCTCTATCTAGCCACTCACCCTCGCTCCCGAGGCAGGCCTGGGTGGGAACGCACTGCCTGAGAGCAACAGGAAGCTGCTAGAACACGTCACCTGTGCCTGGCACCATGAGAGCAGAGCAGGCCCAGCGCCAGAATCTTAAAGGGGACTTGCGCACACCAGATGCATCCATCCACTTGTGCCTTTCCCAACCCGCTCTCTCCCTGGTTCTGTCTGACGCAAAGGATTCACCAATCTGCCTGGCGGAAAGTATGAACGGCAAAGGTGACAGAGAAGGCCGGCTGGTCCTTCCCAGAAGCACCAGCCTGTATGTACCCAAGGACTGACCCTAGTCTCACCCAAAGCTGCCCATTCTTTGGAGATTCTTGGACATGAACACAGGTTCCAAAGGCAGTGAAAGACATTTTCCTACAAGAGGCTTGCAGTCAATGTGGACGTCTCTCTGCTTTCAGCTACTCGGGGCCACACCTGACCCAGGTGCCTTGCAAGACACAGACAACACACCCTGGATAGAGCAAGCTGGAGGCCACTTCCCCATGATCTAAGCAGCCACCATCATAAATATTAGTTCTGAGACAGGTGACTTGAACACCCCTCTCCCCTCAAGGCCTGAATCGACCCCCTTCCCCAGGGCCTGCTCTACCCACTCTTTATCAGATTCCCATCTTTTTTCACACCAGCCTCTAGTTACCCCAAATCACAGGCCAGCAGGCGTTACGTTAGTGTGATGACACGTGAGGCTGGGCCTCCGGTTCCCCAAAGAGAAGTCACAGGCCAGCAGAAGTTGCATTAGCAAGATGAAGTGTGAGGCTAGGCCTTCCTGTGACACAAGGCTTAGAAGTTTGTCCTTAACACTTGGGCCAAAGACAGTATGTGAGCAGGGAGGAGGCGAGCACCATTGGGTGGCTCTGAAGCCGAGGGATTTACGCACCCGTGATAATGTGACACAGTGCCGTTCAGCCGTGCTTCCTCTCTGAACAGCTAAAAGTCCCCAGATGACCAATGCCATAGTTTCCTAATAAGTTTACCTCCAACTCTCCAATGGGATTGGAGATCCAGAACCTCAAGACTCAGACCACAGCGTTTCCTATACAAAGTTCAAGTTCAAATGCACAACTGGCCAAAAGCTGGGCGACCTCGGAGCGGGCAGGGCCTCCAGTCCTTCCCTGCACCCAGCAAACACTGCTTCGAGCCAAGCCAGGAGTGATCACAATTTCCCCAGGAGGTAGGGATAAGGTAGTCCTAAAGTTGTGTACAAGCAAGGAACGGACTGCTCAGAGGTCCTGGAGGCGGGCTTGGTCCCAACACCAAGGTAGATGAGGAAGCGGCTAAGTAAAGGCTCAGAGATGAGAAGAATCCATTTGCCACGGCAGTGGGGATAGACAGCCAAGGCACTAAGTGGTTTGGCACCTGGGAGCTTCAAGTAAAATTGAGCGCGCTACCCACCAAGAGGCCGAGGGAGGCTCTTGCAGACGGGAATGGGTTTCCCATGAGCACATGGAACCCCAGCAAGGCCAGGGCCCTTGTCCTTGGGATGCCAGGCCAGGTCCTAACCTACTTTTTATCTCAGAATTACCATGAACGTGTGAAGTGGATGTGATACAGACTGTCCCCCGGACACTCCAGGATGTATCTGTCTCGGTGAGTGTGTGCCTTCCCCACAGGTACCTACCGGAGCTCAACGCTCTCTGTTCCAGCAGCAGTTACCATCATGGGAACGTGCTGCAGAGCCTGCACCATGGTCTCCGGATGCCTCAGGGAAGTGGCAGAGCTCTACCAAGGACTAGGTTCGTGTCTTTTAAATAGAAAACACGGAGTTGGAGGCAAATTTGAATCCTGATTGGGGAACTGGACGGTGCTGAACCAGTGAGGGAACCTCAGCTTGGCTGGATAATAACGGAGTAAGAACCTCAGTGGGCTCTGAGAGCCACCGAGGGAGAAGGCTCTCCAGTGTCCATGTGGAGTGACTACGCATGGGACCCACAAAGTGCAGGATGGTGACCACCAACATGACAGTCCTTGGCTCTTCTATAGTTAGGCAGAGACTGAGGTCTCTACCTCACACCTGCCCCTTCTTGTTTGGTCCCCATTTCCTCCGGCTTTCTTCACAATATGTCAATCAACTTCCTTCAGGCAGGAGTTCCTACCAAGAGGAAGTGTTCGGGAAAGCTGAAAATCTCTACCTCGGGCATCTCTAATATAAAACCCCAGCTTAGGTACCCATGATTTAAATACTCTCCCTTAATACCTTCTAAGAAATACTTCCCATCTCCTAGACCCTTCCTGCCCGGCAGCCACCATATTAACATGGTGACAGTGTAATTCAGGAAATCATCCTGATGCCACTGCTCAAGAGAATCTCAGGTGGGAGGCGTAGACTGTCTCTATCTCACTGTACAGCCCCAGCTCGGAAGGGACAAGAGCTATTGTCAGCTCCCTGGGTGGAACTCCTGGGGGCATCCTGTGAACAACTATCAGTGGTCAAGGCCAGATGTCCTTAACCAAAGTCCAGGCTGCAATGAGCCACTCCATGTCCAATAATATGTCCAGGCAACCCGACCAGCCACTTCCCTAGGAGGCAGTTTCTCCTTAAACATGCCCAGGGTCACAGTCCTGCCCATTCCTCCTCCTCTCTCCTATCCTGCAGGATGAGACCGTATAAAATCTCCACCAGGAAAACACAGCAGAGGAAGGAAGGAGTCATGGAGCCACCCAGGCAGCCAGAGCCAGAGTGAGGCAAGAAGAAACGCAGACAGACTGATCTTCCTCAGTGGGTCTCTTCCCTGAGATTGAGTTTGAGCTGAGATCACATTTAATTTCAACTCAAAAAAAAAAAAAGACAAAAGTATCTATCTCTCTTGAGCTCCAGTTTCAAGGAGGGGCATCTGTCAGGGGGGGCCTTGAGAGTTGAGTCCCATCCCTACCGAGGCCCATGGTGCTGAGAGCGAGGGACATCGACCAATCAACCACCCACTCCCGCTGCTTCCCAGATGCCCAGAGCACAGAGCCCTGCTGAGCGGGGCTCCAGGCCCAACACCCACGCACAGGTTCCTGCAGAATACTTATGGCAAACAGCTTTACAGTTATTTGTACATTTACACAAAAATAGATCCTTTATATATATCTATATATATATATGTATGTATGTACGTGTGTATTTATAACTGGTTACACGTTGGATTCATAATTAGGCATCACCAGTAGTAGTTGGCACAGTTTGTCACTTAAGCTCAGGGTCAAGTTCTGTTTGATTTGCTGTTCCAAAGTACAAAAAAAGGAAAAAAAAAGAAAATCAAGGCAATTCATCTCCGTGGTGTTTTCTTAAATACAGTAATTTCATAGGAGGCGTATGTACAGATGACCAAAGCCTCTCGACCCTCCTGTGTCTTTGAGCTGGGGGCTGGGATTTGGAGTCAGGGCACGGGGTCAATGTGGCCGGCTGCTGGACTCTGAGGCCTGCCTCTTGCGTGAAGGGGTGTAGCCGTTGATATAGCCGTTGGTCTGCCGCTTGGAGAGCCCTCCATTGAGGATGTCCTGGATGTGCTGCACGATGAGGTTGATGGCCACTGTGAGGCAAAGAGCGACAGTATCAGAGAGTGGGGAGGGCACACGTGCAGGGCTGTGACGACATGGTCTGTGCACGGAAGGGCACACGGGAACCAGAGGCAAAGACTTCCAGGAACATGGCCCTGACCTTCCAGAGCCTCCAGCTGGGCTCACAGGACCTGCTTTGTAAAGTGTTCTAAGAATGGAAGTGAGACCCCATGAATGAATCCCCACTGCATAAAGCAAGCACCCCAAAAATTGTGTGGAGAGACTAGAGATGGTTTTAACACCACCGATCATCTCGACGTCCCTTTTCCTAAGCATCTACCAACTTCCGTCCCAAACAGGGCCACAATACAGAAAGCCATCTTCCCACAGAAGGTTGAGCTGCATTAGCATCAGAAACAAACACGTTCCACTGCGTGCGTGCGTGCGTGCGTGCGTGCGTGCGTGCGTGCGGTGGGGAGGGGTAAATACGTGTGAGTGTATAGAGGGAGGCTAGAGGAAGATGTCAGGTGTGTCCTTTTCTACTGCTCTCCACCTTATCCCCTTGAGACAGAGTCTCTCGCTGACCCTGGAGACAGCCAGACTGGCAGACAAGCTCCAGCAATTCTGTTTCCAGTCCACACAGTACTAGGGTTACAGACACAGACCCAGCCATGGAAGGATTTTGAGATTTGGGTCTCACGGTGTAGCCCTGACTAGTCTGGAGCTCACCAGTTCAGACCAGGCTAGCTTTGAACTTGGAGATCCACCTGCCTTTGCCTCTTGAGTGCTAGGATTAAAGGTGTGTATCACCATGCCTTGCTCTCAATTTAAAAAAAAAAAAAAAACATGGGTGCTAAGATCTAAACTTGGGCTCTCATGCTTGAGCAAGTGCTCTTACCCACTGAGCCACCCTCCCAGCCCCAAACAACAAAGGACTACTTTCTGGTGTGATTTACAGACTGTGTAAGCTGATGGCCACCACCGAACAGCGGGCCTCTGCTCCTAACACTGTCAGTGTGGTGAAAACTAACGGAGGCTGAGGGCGGCTGAAGCCTGTGCTCCCTGAGCTTGGCTAGGAATGAGAGTGTCGTGCTTCCTTAAAACACACATTGAATTGTTTGCTGCTGTGATGAACACACTTTTTAAAAGGAAGAAAATGAAATAAAAAAGAATGAAACGATGAGGTCCAGTCCTATGCAACAGATGAACTCAGCCACCCTACGTTCAAGGCTGTGGGTGCCGGCCATTGCTTCCTAGATGTCCCAAACACCGAAGGACACACTAATGGTGCCATCCGACTCCTTTTCAGAAGGGCAACCCTGGTGTGATGGCACATCATTCTAAATCAGATTAGGAAGAAACTACACTGAAAGGTAGTCTTAGATACCAGGTGTCCAAGTGTCACTACTGGAGAGGCCACTGAAGGAGAGGCCACATAATTCCCTGATTATGTCTGTCCCCACACATGGATATACACATGACCAAGGATCTGTTCCCAAGACTACATCTGTAGACAGAAATACCTTTCTGACTATCACAGACTACAAGACCCTGTATGGTCAGTCACACTGTGCCCAAGTTATGACTGATGTGAGAAGAAGGTATTGCCCACAGGAGGACACCCCACTGGGACTCACCAAGATTGTCTGCACCTCTAGGAATGATCACGTCGGCATATTTCTTTGTCTGTGGAGAGAGATGTTTACAACACATTAGCAGGGGCATTCAGAGACAAACCTGAGCCCCTCTCCAACGGCACGAGGTAAAGCCAGCCCCTGGCAGAGGAAGAGCCAGACAGCCCCAGCAGCAGCTTGAGGCTTCGGATATGATACTGCAGAAGGCACCTAAAAACAAGGAAGGTCCAAGGAAGTACCTTCATGGGTAAAATGTGAATGCTAGAAGGGAGGAAGAGGATAAGGAAAGGAAAGAAGGCTTTTCCTTTGTCAAAGAGGGAAAGTGGGTCTCACTAAGTGGTTGATTCAAAACCACTTCATACTCCAATGCTTAACTCGAATGCTTAGCCCTGATGTCTATTTTATATCCGCATTATACAGCCAGCTTTTCCCTGAGTACTTATTACTGGTGCCTAACATCTGTTTCCACCAAGGACCTGCAGAGAACATGGCCTTAAAACCACACGTGTTAACTGTCTCCGACACCAGGAATACTATTAATTAGAAAAACCGAACAAAGGGCTGGAGACCAGCTCGGTGGTAGAGCTCTCTTGCCTAGTATGAGTAAGACCCTGGGTTCTGCCGGGCAGTGGTGGCGCACGCCTTTAATCCCAGCACTCGGGAGGCAGAGGCAGAGGCAGGCGGATCTCTGTGAGTTCGAGGCCAGCCTGGGCTACCAAGTGAGTTCCAGGAAAGGCGCAAAGCTACACAGAGAAACCCTGTCTCGAAAAACCAAAAAAAAAAAAAAAAAAAAAAAAAAGACCCTGGGTTCTACCCCCAGCACCGACAAAACCAAGCAGCAGTAACTACAAATTTAAAGGGGGATCCGTTCGCCTTGAGTTTTTAAGAAGCCTGAAGGGTGACACTATTCACAGCCAGCTCTCGGTTAAAGCCAGAAAAGGCAACCCCCTCCTGGTGACCAGCTTTACTCCATCATTACAGTATTTTACAAAGTAAAATTTTTTTTAAAGGTGAAACCATGCTCCTATTGTGTATCTCCCCCGCCCCCGCCCATTTACTGAGATTTCATAAGCCATTCTGGAAATAAGTGTCCTGGAATGTGCCCCCAGTTTTTCATACACGCCATGAGTATTAAGTATGCCTGAGTACCCTCACTCCTCCTAACTGCTGACCCAGAGTCATGCCAGCCTCAGACCCTAGACCTTTCTCAGGTCCCAACTATGGAAAAATTAAATGGTCTTCCCTGAGCTAAGAGTGGACAGTGGGGTGGAGCACAAACATCCCCGAAAACACTTGGCCAGAATCTTCAGTTCCTGCAGCTGAGCTAAACAGCAGAACACATCAGTGGGGTTGGTTCCCAATGGTGAAATCCCTTTGTGTTCTCAGTAAGAGACAAAAGAATGGGAAGGTCCTCGGGTAAACAAATGGAAAAAATTCCACAGTCCCTTGGCCCTGGGAGCCCTTTCGCAGAAACCCGATCTCATAACCTAACCTTCAACAGGGCATCAGCCTCCTGACAAATTTCCTCAAGCTGACTCAAAGTCCACCAGTCCCTGACTGAAAACCAAGTCAAGCCTGGTGCAAGGCTGAAGGCCTCCTAGAGACTGAAGCAGGCATGGTGAGGATTATCTTGTCCAGGAAAGGAGAAAAAGCAGAGGTCATTGATTCTGGAGACCTTCCCAGACACCACTCTTCCCAAATGATTTCACTCAAATCCAGCCTAAGGCCCAGCGTCTCTCTCTCTCTCTCTCTCTCTCTTAATTATAAATAACGAAGGCCTGCTCTGCCGGACCTGAGCTTGCTCAGGCAGGGAGGACGTGGTGAGTCAAGATGCTCCTAAATCAAATACTTCTTCCCCAACTAAACCTTGTTCCCCATCTTCCTCCCTTCCGGCAATCCCAGATCCACCCTGGGTCTGGCAGCTTCATGTCATATGCCCCATTTGGTCTCTCCCAGGGAGATGTGTTTCTCTGGTTGATTATTAGCTGAGAGCCATCCCCCTCTGGTTCTTAGAAAGCCTGGGGAACTCAAGATGCACTATAGGGGATACAGATGTGCCAGGAGGGAGGCAAGGGAAGAGGATCTCAGCATAGCCCAGCACTTCCCAAACGCAAAGGCCAAGAAGAGGTTTTAAATAAACCGCCTGTGGAGTGCCCTCCCTGCACCAAGTCTCCAGCTGGCTGAGGTCTATCTCAGGCAAGCTTCAGGTAAAGTCTGATTGCAGCCCTCCCAGGCAAGAAATGCAGGTTATGCTGGGAGAGGCGCAGAACCAGGGTGACCTTCAGGGGAAGAAAGACGGCAGGACAGAACCCAGCCTGCCACCTCTTAGGACTTCAAGATGATCACTCAAGAGAGGGGAATAAGATTCAAGCCGGGCCGACCCCAGCAACCTACAGGCTTTTAAATCTATCATGAAGGACTAGAGCGATGGCTCAGCATCTCTCTAGATGATGAGAGTTAAGTGCTCTTGTTGCTCTCACAAAAGACCCAGCATGCACATGGCAGCTAATGACCATCCCTAACTCCACTTCCAGAGGATCTCATGCCCTCTTCTGGCCTCCATGGGCACTGCATGCATGTGGTGTGCAGACATACACAGGCAAAAAATACCTATACACATAAAATAAAAATACATACACCTTTTAAAAAAAAGATTAAATCATTAAATGTCAAGATGTACATTTAGCAGAAACAAAGAATACAACTCACTGGCAAGCAGAATTCCTCAAAGGCGGGCTTCACGAACGTAATGTACTGAGATAAAATCTGTTCAAGGTCTCTCCCTCTTTCGCTGATGTCCCTCAATACTGTAAGAGAAGGAAAAATAACCATCAAGAACACAGTGCATGAGGTAGCACTCCAGGCTCCCGCAGGCCACCCAGCTGATTGAGAAGTCAGGACTACTTAGAGACTTTTTGCCCTAGGATGGATCAGCCACAGATTCAGAAAAAAACAAGTTATGTTAAGTCTCAATACCATCAAATTCTACTACGGTGTCCCCTAACATAAAAGGCTGCCTGGCCAAGACTAGCAGCTTTCTTGTTTCAAGCAAACAAAATCTCAACATGAACCAGAAAAGATCAGGGCATCCCCGAAGAGTTGTGACAACAGGAAGCAGTGGTGCCCGGCTGGAGAATGCTCTCCTGTGTTCCCAAGTCCAGGGACCCACTGCTGTGGGGTCAGCCAATCACCCAACTCACCCACCCTCTCCTGGGTGGGAATACCAGTGGTGGGGAAGCTCTTTTCTGCTCACCTGGGGCACAGAAGTTTGCAAATAGAACATTAGTTAGTGAGAAAACCACGCTCTCAGGGATAGGGAGCCAAAGCGAGGAGGAAGCCAAGGTGGATCCAGATTTACCATCTATCACCCATCATCTTCCCTCGGTACCTTCTAAAAAGGGACCTGCCGCAAACATTTTTTAAAATCTAGTTTTAAGGACCAGGGCATCTGGATTCTGTCACTGTGTCCTGACCTCCCTAAGCCTCAGTTTCCCTTGGAGTAGTGAGCTAGGAAGGTGGTCCTGGAGGTCCTGTCAACCAACACAGCCCTCTGCACAGCTGCCACTTTGAAGCTTATTATCAGCCACCTAAGTTTTCACCTGTACCCCCAGAGATTACCATATCAGGTAACAGACTCAAATAAATCTCTGTAAACAAACACAGGGAGTTTTTGTGAATGAAATTTTGGAGAGAGCTATGCCACTAAGTATTACACACACACACACACACACACACACACACACACACACACACACACACACACACGATCACGCCTGCACACACTAGAGCGCCTGAGTTCAGGAGCTAGTGCCTCCCTGGAATCAGGTGCTGCCCCTGGAGTGCTTGGTGCTGGGTTTGTTTCATAAGGCATGCTTTTCAGGAAGCTACTGGCTTTAGCACCCTGGAAAGTTTTGCCCTTCTCCCTATGGCGCACATGTGGGCACACCCCACACAGATCTCCTGCTGCCTAAGGACCAGACCTGGTAACTTCATCTATTATAAGAGAAGCCAATGGGTCATGCAGGAAGCTCCAGGGTGAAGTGGCATAGCAAGGCTGCTTGGCTCTATCTAATGAGTATGGAGCTGAAGGAACGTGACCTAGATTTGAGTCCTGTCCCCAGAAACTCCTGCTCCTGTGACCTTAGCCAAGTGACTTATCCTCTTTGAATCTTCATTTCCTTAAACAAAAAGCAGACAAAGAACGTCTTATTTATAATTGAGGGAGTGGGGGATCTCATGCAGCCTAGCTTGATCTTGAACTTAGATATGTAGCTGAAGATGACCTTGAACTCATACTCATGCCTCCGATTCCAGAAAGTTGGGATTACAGAGTATGCTGCTGTGCCCAGTTTTTATGAGGTGCTGGGAGATCAAATGTAGGGTTTTGTTCATGCTAGGAAGTCATTCTACAAGCTGAGCTACATTCCAAGCCCTGATGAAGCTATTATTTAAGAAAACAAGGGGGTACAATCTCCAGCATGGCGGCTGGTACACAATCCAGTCAATAAGCCTACCCTCCGATGGCAACTGTAGCTCTAGCCCAACCAGGGGTGGGGGCGGGGGGCTCCAGGAGAGCAGAGGCTCCTGACAGGAAAATCAGTCAATGTGAGGAGGACAAGGTACATGGGGGGAAGTGTGTGTGCAGAGGAACCCTGCAGAACGCTGGAAAGGTGTGACAAGGTTCAGGAGAGGCCAGCGGGAAACAAACCCATGCAATGGATATGTTAAAAGGGGACACATGGTCAAAGAAATGGGGACAGGCAATAACAGAAGGCACTGTCACCTAACTCCCTAAGAGGCTTCAAGGAAGTTGTCACCTTAAACGGACTAGGATGGCTCCGTGGCCAAGGGCCAGCTAGCTCACTGCATTTGAAACGCCCTGCTCCTTGGGTACTGCCAGGAAGCAGAATCAGGCCAAGGGTTGAGTCAGAACAAGATCTTGGCACAAACTGGAAACTCCAAAAAAAAAAAAAACACCAACCCAACACCTCCACCCCTACCCCAACCCCCACCCTATCCCAGCCTGAGCCCTACACATGTGCTAGGCAGGATGGGATCATTCCCAAAGGACGAAGGAATGGGCAGGAAGCTGCAAGTTTGCTGGTTCCCTGCCTGGCCAAGCAGCCCTTCCAAACCCAGCGGTGTTCTTTCAGCTCTAAATGCCCATGCCCCACTCTTTCCCCTCCTGATGATAGAGCAGAGAGGGAAGCCCTCAGTAAACTCAATCACCAAGAGTAAGGAAGGGGATCCAGGAGGGCCTGAGCCTCCCAGGCACTGCAGGATTCCAAGGCTAACTTCTCCCTTATTGGTATGTTAGTTGTAAGCCTAGAAGTTTATGAAAGATGGGTGGGAACATGGTACTCCATTCTCTCGGAATATTCTCCAGCCCCACTACTACTACCTACCCCTGTTAGGGACTGTCCCCTGCCCTCAGCACCCTGCACTTCACCAAGCATATGCCAAGCATGTTTTTTGTCCGACCTGGACAGAAGGAACTTGTAAAAATAAATGGCATATAGAAAAACCGCACAAATCTACCAGGAAAGTGGCTTGGCAGAAGGGTACTTGTAAAGAGACATCTGAAATGAGGAGGCAGCAACCTGCCCAGACAACAAAGGGCCAGAGAAAACTTGGGAAGCAAGGGCCGGGGTGGGGGTGTGGGGGTGTGGGGGTGAGTGGGTGGGTGGGTACACACGCCTTTAATCTCAACACTTGGGAGGCAGAGGCAGGCAGATCTCTTGAGTTGAGGCCAGCCTGATCTACACAGCCAGGGGCTACACAGAGAAGCCCTATCTCAAAACCCAAGTTTCACATTATTTTAAAGATTTCCCATACTCACATAAAGACCCTCTCTCTCCCCACCCCAGGCCAAGAAACGGAAGGAAAATGTGCTGCTTAATCTGCACCATGCTGACCTGATCTGAGTTAGTAGCCAAGACCCACTCAATTTCCAAAGACTTCCCAACTGCTCCAAATCTGGCTCTAATTCCCTAGATGCTGTCTTTTCTCCCTCCTTTGAGGTCTCTCTAGGATTGAGTCCCACTTGCTAGACTAGTCAGCTTCCTGGGGTCAGAGTCTCCAGAGGCCCAGCATTGCTGCAGAGAACACGATACCAGCCACCGACCTCTCCAAAATTCTGACCTGAGAGGCAGCAACTACCAACTAATGTGCCCGCTGGCCCTGCCCCCGCATGACCTCTCATCCATCCCTACAGGACTAATCTCTGGATTACCTGGTAGAAAAATAAGGTTCAAAGAGGCTAAAACACAACTTGCCCAGGGCCACACATCCATGAGCAGTGAAGCTGGACGTCGCCCATCTCACCTGGCTTTGAACTTGTGTTTCTTAATAGAACACACTGCCTCTTTAACTCGGCAACCATCAGGGACAACGACCCACCAAGCAAGGGAAGAGCTAGGCTTATAGGTAAGGTGGTAAGCCAGACACTGGGCCAGAGGCATGGCAGTCGGGGGGGTTCCATAAAGAAACACAAATCTGGGGTATGGTTAGAGCCACTGATGTCACAAGGCTAGACGGGGGACCTGCCTGCTGAGACTAACATCGCGTCTCTCCTGTCTGTTCTTCACACAGTGATACCTTTGCTGCTCCCCACCTAGAGGGAAGTGTGGCTCCAAATCAGCATGCAAACCCAGACTAGCTTCTCTCAGTTCTACTGGTTCCACTAACAGCTCTTGCCAAATAGTATGTTATCAACCTGTTTACTAGAATGTCCAATAAGTCACAGATTCACCTACCGGGACCTGTTTGAAACAAGGTCTAAACTGGCCCTGCTACACAGCTAAGGATGACCTTGAATTTCTGATCCTCCTACCTCAGCCTCCCTGGGTACATTACAGGTATAGGACACCTGTTTGTGTGATGCTGGGGATTGAACGCAGGGCTTCATAGATGCTGGGTAAGCACTGAGTTGAGCTATTTCCCTAGCCCAAGCTACTTTCTAATGTCTTGTTCACTATCTCCCATAGATTCCATCCACATGGGGCTCTCGGAACAGGCCGCTGTGTCTGTATAGATAGTGAGCATCTTCTCTAGGTGCCTGCACCACGGTCCCCCCTCACTCCTGTGACCTAACCCTTCTCCTTCTGAAAGGCTCCCAGTGGAAGCACATGGCTCAGGACCCTGCAGAGCTCAGCTCCTCACCCAGTTCTGGGGGCTCCGAGAATGCACAGGCTGGATGGACATAAGCACAGGTGCACACTCGGGAACGCCTGCCGGGGAATGCTCCAGGACTGGGTAGAGAGAATGTGGGCATGCAGAAGCAGATGTTGGAACAAGACACCCAGAACTGCAGGCACAGGGCTCCCTGTCCCCAGATACCCTACAGTTACTTCCAAGACCAAGGCATCTTTTCTTGATGCCTCATGAGAAAATAAAAGAGACCTGGGCATTTCATCTTAGTGACCTCACAAGCCTTCCTCTAACTAAAGAGTAAAGTGACCAATCCCTTCCTAAATGTCACTAAACATCAGGTGACAGGATGTCCTGGGGTTGGACTACAGCTGGGCAGGGTCACAGAGCCCACACAGCTGCATAAGGAGAGGTCCAGGCTTCAGACTCAGGGGGGCATATGCTTCTCACGGGTTTCCACCTATCTGCTCCCAAGATAGCCACCAAACAGGCCATCTGAAGCCTAACAGAACGCACCTCTGCGAGAGAGACGAGTGTCCGCATCTGTGTCCACAAAAAGTTTCATCTGGAACAGGTCTCGGACCTCCTGGGAGTAGAAGGCCAGGATCCCTTCAAAGAGCACCACGTCCGCGGGGTAGATAGTGACCGTCTCCTCTTTCCTGCAAAACACAGATGGACTGAATGGCCAGGGAGCCGGGTGACAGCAAGGAGCAGAGCATCTGCTGGGTTGAGGTTCTGGGTTCTCGGCCTCCAAAGACCTACATAGTAGATAGAGGAGTTTGGCTCCTAGGCCCAGAGACCTCAGGCCTCCTTTAAGCCTTCCTCCCCCCTTCACACTATTCCACAGGTCCTCTTCTTCCTCCAGTCGTATTCTAAGTCCTTCCCTGAACCTGGAAGGAAAGCCGTGCACTGGAGTGTCTCATCGGCTGGACACCACCACTTCCCTCTACGGCAGAAAACTCTCCTTCCCTGTGCGGGTCCAGGCCGCCCTGCTGACAAAGACTCAGAAGATGATGAGGAAACCCCACAATGTACACAGAAGACAGGAACAGAGGGACAGAGATGCCATGCAAAACTCTAAAGGCCCGAAGCAGGTATGGTGCCTTTTTGCACTTTCCCGTGAGTCCCAGCCTCTGCTCTGGTGGTCGGGTTTGAGACGTATTCCCTCTAACTGTCTGGCTGCCCCCTTCCAAGTCTTCACTCTCCCAGACCCCAAGAGTGAGCATAACTCCAATCCCTACAGTGGACTCCATTATTCCTGCACAATCCTTAAAGGCTTGGTAAAACAGATACAGTTAGCGTGATGCTTGGCGCTAATTTTCTGAGCCCCCACACAGCAGGCTCTGCCCCCCACAGGAGGCACTAGTGAGGCCCCACCCGGACCCTCTCATCTGCCTCGTCTACCCCAACCTTTGCTGCGCCCCCAAGTTCTGGTTATGAGAAGGTACAGGCTGTGCATGCACTGCACTAAGGGCTGAGACATGCAGAACGGGAGAACAGAGAGAGGCAAGGACTAGGTTTAAAACGACAGGAACATCTGGTAAGAGAGAAACACTATGCGACCTAATTTCCTACTTGAAAAGAATTCAACTCAAGGGAGAATGGCAGGGAGTATCAGAAGAATGAAAAGCCAGCAGGAGAAACGCTCGCAACTGCCCACGGAGAAGGACATTTACTGAACCACTACAAGGCCAGGTACAAGGAGCCACACCTGGGACAGGCCATCTAAAAATGCAGCTTATGGCTTCGGAGTCAAGAAGTGGCATGCTAACCCGCTCTGAAGACTCATGTCTGGCCAACAAGAGTGAACGTTCCCAAACTAATCGTCAGGCAAGGGCAAGGAGGGTGAGCTCAGAATCTACCCATGCTCTAGGATCCCGAGGGAGGGGCTTCAGTGGAGAAGGTGGGTCTGTCTTGATTGAGATGCTGTCTGGAGAATGGGGACTAACTTTGGGGTGTGGACTTGATGACCTCACCTCTCCACACTGTCCAAGAGCAATCACAGCATGAGAGCAGAGATGCTGCTTTGTCCCTTCCCTGTCCCACCCTGGGCCCCCACCCCCACCCCATTGACATCTTCTTAAAAGAGCCAAGATTCTGGCGTGTACATAACAACAAACATGCACGCCATCTGTCCCGGCTGGTTTTGTGTGTCAACTTGACACAAGCTAGAGTCAGAGAGGAAGGAGCCACAGTTGAGGAAATGCCTCCATGAGATCCAGCTGTGAGGCATTTTCTCAACTAGTGATCAATGGGGAGAGATCCTAGTCCATGGTGCATGGTGCCACCCCTGGCCTGGTGGTCCTGGGTTCTATAGAGAGCAGGCTGAGCAAGCCAGGACAAAAGGCAGTAAACAGCACCCCTCCATGGCCTCTGCATCAGCTCCTGCCTCCAGGATCCTGCCCTGTTTGAGTTCCTGTCCTCGCTTCCTGCAGTGAGGAACAGCAATGTGGTAGTGCAAGCCATATAAACTTTCCTCCCCAGCTTACTTTTTGGTCATGGTCTTTCATCGCAGCAATAGAAACCCTAACTGAGACACCATCCATCCCTTACACCAAAGTACAAGCCCATCCTTCAGAGAGAAAAAGGAAATGATCCAGCCATTCCTGGAAACATCCTCATGAAAGATGGGGAAGATACCAGGCAGTAGTGATATACCCTTTGATCCCAGCACTCAGGAGGCAGAGGCAGGTGGATCTGAGTTCAAGGCCAGCCTGGTCTACAGAATGAGTTCCAGGATAGCCAGGGCTACATAGAGGAGCTCTGTCTCAAAAAAAAAAAAAAAGAAAAAGAAAAAAAGAAAGAAAGAAAAGAGGAGAGACAGGGAGACCGGGGGGTGGGGGTGGGGGGGGGGTGGGGGCAGGAAGCTGAGTGCACTCCTGGGATGCTCTAGGCTGCAACAGCTAACAACCTCTGGCCTGGCCCAGCTTACTTACCGTGAGTGGGTGACAAAGTCATACACAGGTATCTGGACTGTTTTTCCTTCAGTGATTTCTTTCAGTGTTTTGAAGATAAGTTCATTGTCAAAGGCATCTGAAGGAAATCAAATTATTAAAACAGCTCTTGGTTTTAAACTAACCTGTCATAAAATCACAGCAAACTTCACACCCAGAACAGGCTGCCCTTCCAAAGCCAATGTCCACCCATGGTGGAACACCAACACTCCCTGGATCTTAAAACAGGGTGTGTGAGTGAGTTCTGGCAAACTAATCTGTTGTTTGTTTTCTGCTGACTTTCTGTACCTGGTATTGACAGGTCCCTCCCATCTCTCCTCAAAGGTCAGCTGGTGCCCTGGGATTGATTGGCACATGCTAAGCATAGGTCTCATGCCAAAAAGAGCTGACTCCCACCAATATGAGAAACCTAAACCACCTAAAGGAGCAACACGTTGATCTGGGATATCAGCAAAACTCACTTAGGGGGCCACCTTAAAATACCCCCACTTCCCTTCTTGATGGTCAGCAATCAGACCACATGGGCCAAATGCACACACATGAGACGGTGTGGGGGCGGGGGTGGTACAGACTGCTACACATCAGAAGGCAAAAGACCAGCTGTGTTTGTTTCTCGGGCTCTCTGCCCAAGCTTGCATGGTTTACCTTCATTCAATACAAATTCAATCAGCTCTCTGCAAAGTGTTCAAAACCCATTCTTTCCTGTAAGCCCATGATGACCATGTGAGGCGGTCCTTAGGCCCCTACGTTGGATACAGGAACAGACTGGGAGAAGCCAAGCCCTTCCTCATGAACACAACCACAACCCGCTCTGCCTACAACACACAGGCCTCTCAACCCCCAACTCACCCGGGTGATCAAAGTTGAACTGGCCCTTTAGGGCTTTGGCCTTCTGCTCGGAAGTGAGGACTCGATAGAAGCTATCCTGGCTCAGGATGACCACCTGCTTCTGGCGGTAATCCACCTCATTCTGCCCCAGGAGCTGCACGATCTTGGCACAAACGGAAGACTGCAAGGAGAGAAGACAGCGGGGAATGAGAGGGAGTGTGGGAGTGTGCTGGGACAAAGAAAGTGCAGATGTCTAGCTCCCTAAAAGGAGCGGAGGGAAGTAGCCAGCAGCTCAGGTACTCTCGGCCAATTAAAAGGGAGGACCAGCCCCTAAAAGGAGGTCCAAGCCTCCCAAAGTCCTCAGCAGACTTCTACTCAGGGTACTCAGGCAATGGTCCTCTCCTCTCTGATAGCCAGCGAATGGAAACGGAGTGCCAATTATTAATCCGCCTTGTTGTCCCTTGTGTAGAAACACACGAGACACCAGAAAGTGGAATTAATACTCTGCTGACGGGCCAAAGAAATAAAAAATGACTACATAAGCATGGGGCCCTCGGCCCCCACACAGCTCCATCGGCGCAAGGAAGAGCCACAGCAAAGGCTGGATGGTTCAGTGGTTAAAGTGCTTGCTGCTCTTCCAGGGGACCCAGTTTGATCCCTAGCACCCAGGTGCGGTGGCTCACAGTCACCTGTAACTCCAACTCCTGGGAAGCCAACAGCCTCTTCTGGCTTTCACACAAATGCAGATACACACATGCACATATAAATAAAAAGATAATCTTAATACATAAGTCACTCCAAAAGCAGACGGTCAAGATGGCCCGGTGGGGAAAGGTGCTGGTCACCAAGCCTGACAACCTGTGGTAGAAGAAAAGGCTGGACTTCCATAAGTTGCCCTCTTGATCTCCACATACATATACACACGTGCACTAAAGAAAGATGTTAATGAACAAAACAAAAAGCTCTGGGCAGTGCTGGGCAGTGGTGGTGCAGGCCTTTAATCCTAGCACTTCCTGAATTTGAGGCCAGTCTGGCCTACAAATCGAGTTCCAGGACAACAAGAAGAAAAAAAGAAGAAAAGAAGAGAGGAAGAGGAAGACAAGGAAGAAGAAGAAGAAGAAGAGGAAGAAGAAGAAAGCTACAAAAGCAATACCTCAACATTCCTTGTGGGGCCAATTAACCAATTACAACAGATGAAGAAATGTGTAGAGAGTTACTGGGCTCAGTTTTGTTCTTGAGCCTATTTTATAAACTTTGCCATCCAATTTTAACAATAAAACAGACATACCAAAACTTATAAAGTTGCTTGGTTTCTATGATCACAGAACAGCGGCCACTTCTGTTGCCCTAATTGGTACATAGACTGTTCTGCGCATCCCTGGGTGGGCTGTGCATCACACAACCCAGTAGTAAGAATCCTTCAAGGAGGAACAATCGTTAGATGCAGTCATTATTCAAGATCTCCATCCTTATCACAGGGTCACCGGAACAATTACCCTCTTCCCACTTCCCACACACTCAAGTGGGACAAAGGGGACTAGAGAGGTGGGTGGCTCAGCATCTTAAGCCAGGCAGTGGTCTCAGGCCAGCCCAGTCTACAGAGTGAGTTCCAGGACAGCCAGGGCTACACAGAGAAACCCTGTTGGGAGAAGGGGGAGTACTTGCTGCTCTTGCAGAGGACCTGGGTTCAATCCCCAGCACCCACAGGGTGGTTCAAACAATCATCTGTAACTCTAGTTCCAGGATGACACCTTCTGACCTCCCTGGGCATCAGACATATATATCGGTAAAACATTCATACACTAGAGTAAAATAAATAAACCTTAAAAATCTGAAATTTTTACTTTTAAGTAGGACAGGTCTACTGAAACTGTGAGTTACTGTCTAAATACAACCAAATACATGGCCTGTTCAGTCTAGGGGCTGACCTGAAGCTTATTATGTTCAAACACACAATCCTCTTCATCGAACTCCAGAACTAAAGTGGGTTTGGTATCAGCTCCAATACTCCCCACAAATTTTGTCCAATTCCAGCAGCCGTTGGCAGGGACGGAAGACACAGAGGACTGAACAGACACACAACAGTGTCCAGCCCCTCTGCATCCCTAACTCTATATTGGTAATAAATGTCATAGAATTTCATATAACTAAAGGCAAGGAAGTGAAAAGGAAGAGAAAAGTACATATTCAGAAGTTCTAGAAATGTTATGTTCGGAAGAATCCAGTTGTTGGGAGGCTGAGTGTACCAGACATGCTCAACAATGGACCCCTTTCTCAGAGACACTCTCACTGCCCTACAGAAAGCCCCAAAGTGTCGGCTCGTCACCAGGACCCTCCAGCTGGCAGTTCCTAAAAGGGCAGCTGCCGAGCCTGCTGCACAGTTTCTGGCCCAAAGAAAGGCTTTTTCTCTAAACCCATGCTCACACAGGAGATGGCTCACACAGCCCAGACACCATCTGGCTATTCTATTTCTAGCAGTGTGTCTTCTGGGAGCTAATCTTTAAGATGCTCCTGGCCAGTTCCAATACTGCTGAGGAAGCAGAGCGCTGAGGACTCTTCTGCCTCTTTGCCATTCGCTCTCCAACCCCCAGGATATACAGGCTCTGGTCAAGGCCAGGGCTGGAGAGCTCTGGTGGTCTCACCCTTGGGGATGGGGAGAGAGAAAGCTGGGGGTATCTGTGGAAGGATGGAGTGGCAGTTCTCACCAGCAGCCTCACAGAGACATCCTGGCTACAGGCCACTCTGCCCAGCATGCTACAAGCGCATCAAGTTGCCTGTCATGTTCTGGAGAGGCTGCTTCAGAATCAGAGGGAGGGAAGCCTTGCAAGCAGTCAGCCAGGCTTAAAGGAGCCAGTGGGCAGGCAGGCAGACTCATCACTTCCTTCCCCTCAGTTAACACTGGCTCTGAACTCAACTGACCTCACCAGCTGGTGGTGGGCACAGGCCAGGCACCAACAGCCATCTGGCCCCTTTGCTCGGGTACTGTAAGTCATACCAATTACTCTTCAGCCTTCCCCTGTCACTATCATTACAAGTTCTATGGTGTCCATCTCCAGAAGAAAACACCGCGGCCCCCAGACATTACGTCACTCTTCTGGGGCCAGGGGTGATCCCCACACAACCCAGAGACTCTAATTTACAGGCGTGAGAACATCAAAACACCCATAATTTGCCCTGGCCACAACTGAGAACAGAGTTCAAATCTGGAGCAAACCAACCTGGCACCAGTAGACAGGTGTCACTCAAATGCTTCCCTGGAATAGCTGAGAGCCAAATAGTCTTGGAGTGGGCGGTCCAAAACCAAGCATTGCTAAGCAGGCAAACTGCAAAGCACACCAACTGTGCACCCAATGCACACACACAATCTCAATAAGAAACTCACTAAGCCACTAAGTAAGTATGAGGGTCTCCAATACCTCAGAGGCCACAGATCATTCCAACAGCCCACAAATTCCTGCTTTGTAACTTGGCTGTTAAATCTCCAGGGGCCGGCAGGGCTTTGGACAACACAAGTCTTCCTTCTCTTAAAGCTGGCATCTTTAAAGAATACACCGCTCCTTTTTAGTGTGAGATTTGGTTTAGACTATACTCCTCCTACATTCTAACCTAACAGATACAAAACACTTAAACCCTTGGGATGGCTGGTTGTATGTTCTGAATCTCAAGGCCTGAGCATTACCTGGGCACTGACATTCCCTGCCCTTCCTTGCAGTCTCATTATGCTAAATTCTGGTCACTTAAATATGCAGAAGTCTTAATCCAAAGGTTCCTGGAATCTGCTTAAATAATTAAGTACCCTCCTCTTTTTGTTCCTCCTTCCTGTTAAAGAGGGAAGACTTGACAGCTAGAGCTTAAGCAGCCACCCTGCAGCAACTAAAGATGGACAGACAGTAGCTAAATAAAACAAGTCTGAGAGTAAAATAATCACAAATCAGATACAGGAGTCATGGTGCGTGCTATGCTCAGAATATGTCCTCCACAGTCATGCTGAAACATACTTGTGAATAGGACAATATCAGAAGGTGAGGGCTTTGGGAAATATTCTACTCTCATTTTCCATTGTGGTGATAAAATACCCTCAGGTAGATAGGTGGATGATAGGGAAAATATCACATCATGAACACTCCCACAGAACATACTGAGAACCAAGCTGAGGATTTCACATACAGCCACTCCTTGATACCCCAATGGGATCAGTTCCAGCAACTCCCCTAGAAGCCCAACCCCTGTAGATGCTCCAATCTCCTATGGAAGATGACACGGTATCTGCAGAAAGCCTCCTGTGGACTCTAAAATCATCTCTAGGTCACTTATAACACTTAATGCAATGTTACACGAGCAGCTGTCAGGCTGAGGTCTGAATGTGGTTTACAACTCTCTCCTCTCCCTCTCTCTCCCCGTCCAAGTCTGGTTGAAATATAGACACAGAACGTGCTGGCTAGCTTTATGTCAGCTTGACACAAGCTAAAGTCATCCGAGAAGCGAGAACTTCAATTAAGAAAATGTCTCCATAAAAATCAGACTGTAGACAAGCCTGAATGTCATTTTCCTAATTAGCGATTGATGGGGAGGGCCCAGCCCATTGTGGGTGGTGATACCCCTGGACTGTGGTCCCGGTTCCATAAGAAAGCAGGCTGAGCAAGCCATGGGGAGTAAGCCAGTAAGCAGCACTCCTCCATGGCCTCTGCATCAGCTCCTGCCTCCAGGTCCCTGCCCTGCCTGAGTTCCTGTCCTGACTTCCTTCGATGATGAACAGCGGATACGGAAGTGTAAGCCAAATAATAAATTGCTTTTGGTCACAAAAGCATGGCATTTCATCACAGCAACAGAAACCCAAAGACACAGAACCTGTGGCTAGAGCCACCTTAACCCTCCAGCCAAGCTATGATGTGGTTGTTATTATCCTCCCTTACCTAACAGGAAACGAAGTCACAGAGAGGAAGATTAAGTGATTCAGCCCATGACCTGGCATGGAAAAGCAGCTGGGCCTGTCTACAAGCTCAGACAAGCTGCCGCGGTGAGGATGGGTGCGCATAATCACTGTGCACACCGCCAGGCCTGCCACACTTCAGAGCAGATGGAAAGCCCTCTCTTCCCAGGAGCCCCAGGAGTCTTCAAACACGGTGTAATGCCAATATGTTTAAAGCGAACATCGAAGGAAAGCATCGTCTTAAGGCTCTG